TGGGGATTGGAGGGCAGAGCCTGTGGGGTTTGGGGACATGAGGAAGCTCAGCAGGGATGCAATGCAATGGAGCCCACCTTCCAAAGCTGCTATTTTCTCCAGGGGTAGTGATGTCTGTAGTCTGGAGACCATTTGTGATTCCGGGAGAGCCCCAGGCCCCACCAGGAGGCTGGCAACCCTAGCCCTGCCCTGTGTGAGGTGGCTGGGAGTCCTTGCAAGGAGCTGTCTGGCTGGCATCTGGATGGAGCAAGTAGAAGCAGTTGCCACTGAGCCAGCTGCCTGAGCCCCAGATGGAGTGAGCTTGAGTGGCCCAAGTCCCAAACAGGCCAGGTGTGAATGGCAGAAGAGGGAGACTAGTCCTTTTCTTCTTTTCTTCTTCTCTTGGGGGGGAGCTGTGGGTGGTCAGCCCCTCCTAAGCATGGGGCCGGGGCAGCGACCCTGCGCCCATTGGCTAAGAGCGCCCCTGACAGCAGGCTCTGTTTTGCCCCATAGAATCTTGCACCGTAGAATCTTCTTCTGACCACTATGGTGTATGAGGAAGAGAAACTTTTAACTATTGGCTGGAAGGCTGGAGAAAAAGGAATGCTTTTGCTTGGTAGCTCTTGTGCTATAACAGAACCATACATGATAAGTATCTTCCAGCTAGGGTTGCCAACTCCAGGTTGGGAAATTCCAGGAGATTTGGAGGTACAGCCTGGCGAGGGTAGGGTTTGGGGAGGGAAGGAACTCAGCAGGGTATAATGCCATAAAGTCCACCCTCCAAAGCAGCCATTTTCTCTGGGGGGGGGTGCTCTCTGTTTAGAAATAAATTCCAGGAGAACTCCAGCCCCCCCCCCCGAAGGCTGGCAACTCTACTCCCAGTTTAAAAAGCAGGATTAAACTATACTCAACATGCCACCTTAAGCAATCACCACCCCCACCCACAAAATTGATACAGCCTGCACCTCTGGCCCAAATGATGATGGAAAAACACAGTTTATATCCAGATAAGAGCACTGCGTCCAATGTGTTCTTTGCTTTATGACTGAGCATTACTCGTTCCCGCTCCGTTTAGAGTAGATTAAGATTGAGGGGAGTGCACGCTTTCTCCGAGCTCACTGAAAGGAGCCCCACAAATCAGAACCGGCAGTGAGAAAGAGCCGAGTCAATATGTGTTCCTTAGGATTTAGCCGTGTGGGTGCCAAGAACAGGAGTTAACAGACTTGAACTGGTGAGGGCCCTTCAGGAACAAAAAGAAATTTAACAATCCTGAAATTGCAAGAGCAATTTAGACGCGTCTGCTCTATTGATCACGTAAGTGTGTATATTTTGTTGCTTTCCACTACATTCAGGGTTCAGAGTCACATTCAGAAATGCAGCCGGTGTTGCTTTTCCCAGAAGTGCGGAACGGGTCTGTGGGGTGGGGGGAGTAATTCACCTCCTTCATTGCTGTGAGGTAGGCAGGTGTCAGAAGCACACAGAGAGTCCTTTTAAGAAAGAGAGAATGAAAGGCTTGTGAAATTTCAAAGGCAGGAGGGAAGGAAAGCCCCCCCCATTTATTTCCCCCTCCCTTCTGCTTGCCTGACTCCCACCCAGAAACAGTCCTCTGGGAGTTAGAAGGAGCCAGGAAGGGATCTTCCCAGCATTTGGGAAAGGCAAACAGCAAGGGAGGGAGAGTGGAAAACAGAGGTGGCTTGACCTTTTCCTTTTCATATTTTTGCCAACTGAATGCCTCGAAGTATTAATGGGAAAATGACTGCCTGTCTCATCTTGAAATAAACGTCGGTAGTCTTTAAGATGCCAATGGACTTTCATTGTATTTTGCTACAGCAGACTAACAGGGCTACCCCGTTGCGGTCCTTCTTCACCTCGTTTCCCCCCCATTCTAGGATTACAGGAGGGATTTCACAGAAGAAAGCGTTAAATCCCCCCTCTCTTCCTGTTGTTGTTGTTCAGTCGCACAGTCGAGTCCGACTCTTCGCGACCCCATGGACCAGATCCCGCCAGGCCTTCCTGTCTTCTGCCGTCCTCTGAAGTTTGCTCAATGTCAAGTCTGTTGCATCTATGACACTGTCTAACCATCTCATCCTTTGCCGTCCCTGTCTTCTTTGACCTTCAATCTTTCCCAGCATCAGGGTCTTCTCCAGTGAGTGCTCCCTTCTCATTTGGTCGCCAAAGTATTTGAGCTTCAGTTTCAGTATCTGGCCTTCCAGAGAACAGTCAGGGTTGATTTCTTTTAGGATTGACTGATTGGATCTTCTTGCAGTCCAAGGGACTCTCAAGAGTCTTCTCCAGCACCATAGTTCTCTTCCTGAGCCACACCCATTTCCCTAACTGGAATCTGGGAAGGTCTGTTCATTGATCTCCTAGCATCATCTCCCCGCTTCCCCCATAAGAAGAGTTCTGCAGAATCAGCCTAAATGTCCACACAGTCAGCATTCTGGTGTGCACAGAGGACGGCAGCCAGATGCTACAGGAAAGCCTACAAGGGCCCAGAGGGTCCAGAGATATACAAAAGATGGAAGTTTGATTGATACATCACATCTAATGCCGCATCTTCTGTACTTTACATGCTGCATTGGGTGAAGTAGTCCTTGCTTTTGTCAAGTCATGAAAAACTAAGCCTGCCCCACTCGGCATAGTGATCACAGCCCGAATTCGCATTCTTGGCTCTACTGAAGCATAGGTGCATGTCAGGATAGCTCAGCGAACAGTGCTAGGGCTCCAATATGCAGAGAGCCAGTGTACTGCGATGGCTGCAGCATTAAACTAGGGTGGCTGTGGGAGACCCAGGATCAAATCCCCACTCTGCCAGAAAAGCATGCTCAGTAACCTTGAGCCAGTCCCACCTACTCAGCCTAACCTACCTGACAGGGTTGTTGTGAGGATAAATGAGAAGAGTGGCCCGAGTCACTTTGAGCCCCCATTGGGGGAGAAAGGTGGGTTATAAATTAAACAATTATATTTCATTGTTTATGCTCTTGTTGAGCCAGGCATATGCTAGAAGTTCCGTTTTGTAACAATTCCCACGGTTACAGATAGGGGTTACAGGAGAATTAAGTCCCTTCCCACATGCCATTTACCTGATCTGGAATGTATCCGGGTAGCCGCTCTTTGCTCTTTTGGGAAACTTAAATGTACTGATGGAGTAAAGGCAAGTTTTCCCAAACAACTGCTCTCCAGTAGAAAAGAGCAAGAGTCCAGTAGCACCTTAAAGGCTAACAAAATATGTGGCAGGGTACAAGCTTTCATGAGTCACTGCTCACTTCTTCAGATACAACTGTATCTGAAGAAGTGAGCAGTGACTCATGAAAGCTCCTACCCTGCCACATATTTTGTTAGTCCTTAAGGGGCTACTTTAAGTCTTTAAGGTGTTACTGGTCTCTTGTCACTTTTCTACTGCTACAGACAGAATAACATGGCTACCCATCTTGGTCTAACTGCTCTCCAGAATAATTTCAAGTCAGGAAAACAGCAGGGGGGGCAGTGGAAGGGTTAATCCCCCCCCCCAATCCCATTCCAAATCAGGATTTTGCAGGGCTTGGAATTAACTTGCAAATGAAAACCTTGGCCTCAACAGGAGCCAGGGCAGACCCATAAACGGAGTGACTCCTACTTAGGCTTCAAGAGAGTTGAAGGATGTAAAGAAGAGGTAACGTCAGCCGTAGTATAGATGAGTTTTCTACCAGCCAGTTTTCTCGGCTGCTTCAGAAGCAGCACCAAGTTTCTTTACAGGAGCTACTCTGAACAAGTGATGTGCAAACAGTTTGTCCCCTTCTTTCTCTTTGTTAAAAGACTCCCTTGCTAATTTTGCAATCTTTGAACAGTCAGGAAAAAGGAATGCGTATGCACACAGGCACACATAAGGTTGAACTGAAATACAACCACATTCATTGCAAGACTAGAAAACAGACTTTTAAGAGGGGAGGTGTAGGTCCCCAAGGTATGCTCTGAATGCACACGAGACAGCCCTTTTTCTCAAAGTGAGCAGCTCTGGCAATTGTGTAATTTTAGATCCTGATGCCGGTCCCTTTGAGGCTTTCCTGCAGTTTGGGTGCGGAACTGCAGCTGTTCCCCACCCCATGACATTGTTGTCCATTTACTTGTTGTCCTATTGGAAGCCACCCTGAGTCCGCTTGCAGGGAGGGCAGGGTAGAAATGTAATGATAAATAAATAAAAATTTACCATCTTTCAGAAAAACAACAAGACGGATAATGATGTCACAAGGAATCTCAGAGAAAAGCCCACTGCAATTCAGCACCCAAACTTTGTAAAAGCCTCCATGTGGAAGCCCCCTGTAAGTTACACCCCCCCCCTTTAGATGGTAATGTAAAGCTGTAGCATGCTTCCGGCAATAAGCTGGTCTCCAGATTTCAGTCCAGAGTCTAAAGAGCACTGAGGACAGTTTCTGGATGGGAAACTGTCTGGACATCTGTGTGTTACACCAGTGAAGGCAGACAGCTTAGGAATGCAATGCATTCAGCGTTTGGGTGAGCACACTGAACACATCTTGCTTCAGCAGTCAGTGTAGGCCAGTCTGTTGCAGAGGTGGGGCCGCAACAGGCCAAGGACAGCCTTCAGAAGTGTGTGTGTGTGGGGGGGAGAAGAGTGTTGCCAAGGCAGTGACCTTTGATCTAGAAAGAAGGGAGTGTTAACAAGGCTGCCTAGCTTTTAGCAATGCACTGGTGGAATACTGCAATAACATGACTAATGTAATTATGTCTTATCTACCCCGTCTACAAGTTACAGCAGATAACCAGTAGGAAGACAGAGACCACACAGCTTAACTGGGAGCTTCTCTCCCTGTTGTCAGTCCACTTCTAGATGTGAAGGGTAGAGGTAGTATAACCTCTGAATAAAGGGACCACCCCTCCCCACCAATAGTTAAGAAAAACTGCTGCTCATACAAGGGAATTCTACCAGGTTTGCCATAGTCAACTTTGTGGCTAACTGATCAGCATTCACTTACCAATATTAAACTGATGCTTTTTATTTGGGCATAAGAGTAAAGGAAGGGGGTCATGGCTTTAAGAAATAGTCTTTAATATTACATATTCACAATACAAATACTCATTCAGACAGGACACTGTGAGGGTGATGATGATGCATCCAGAACAGACAACTTCTTCTAAACAAAAACAACAAAGAAGTATAGGCAGAGTTCAGAAGCCCTTCACTGCTTTCACCAGTAGTAAGCAGTGCTCCTTGGCACACTCAAATAACACATTTCCACAGCACAGGACAAATAGCACATTTCCACAGCACACGATCAGATGCATGCAGAAGAAGCTCAACACCCTGTGTTGTGTTCCCAGCAACTTTTCTACCAGCTATATTTATGGCCAGGTGGAGCATGAGAGTGCCAAAGCCTCTATTCCATCATACTCCATAGCAGGTGCTAGTGTATCAGCTACCAGATGCTGACAGCTGCCAACAGAAAGTCTAAATGACAGGACAGAACCTCCTTCACTGCAGCATCTTCCTGGTGGGAGGAGACCAGAGGCTGCACAGAGCCGAGGAGCCTTCCTCTTTCTGCTCTTCACTGGCATCCAACAACTGCTGCATGTAACAGGATGAGCCAAGCAGCACATGGCCTGTAGCTTGCATAGTGAAGAGTGTCCAGCGTAGAGCTTCCCTGTGGAAAGAAGGGAATACTGTCAGGGACCCAGAAGGGCCACTGGGCAAAGCCACAGGGTTGTCAAGCATTATTAGTGGTCCACAGAAAACAGATTCCCTATGAGGCTCTGCCACTGCTGCCCCCCCAAATATTATAAGAGAAATCACATGATTATTAGCACGAATAAACGGACTGTTGGTTGTCTATTTTAGTAAACACACAAACACAAATCCTGTTGACGCTTAAGGACTACTATAGCATACGCTGTCATAGCCTTATCTTTGTAGGTCTAGGTGCATCTGATTTTCTTCTGCTCCACTGATTTTTATATCCCACCCTTTTGTCAATGAACTCAGGACAGAACATACAATTGTACTTTTATCCTCCCCACTTCCTTGTGAGGTAGGCTAGGCAGAGATATTTACCCCCTTTCAATAGAAAGGCCTTAATAGACTAGTGGTCCCACATCTAGCCCACTGGGGGCCCCCTTCTTGGCAGCCTGGTGAAGGCAGAGCACAGAAGGAACTGGCTATGTGAAGCCATCCCTGCTTTCTTGTTCAGAATTTCGCCTAGCACAGATGTTGCACTGGAAGTTCGTTTATTTAAAATATTTATTAGCGGCCTTTCCACCTTACCGAACTCAAAGGCAGCTTTCAATATGAATGAAACAAATAATAAAAAACAGAATTTAAAACCACAATTTAAGACCGCCATCAAAGTTCATGTGCATGTTCAGGATACAAGTCCATGTCTCAAGCTAAGGGGACCAGGGAAGACAGTGTCCGGTATTCAATATCCCCCCCTTGACCACAGAGCTCTCACAAGGAACGCGCTGGGTTCAAGCTCTGACCACCAACCTGGCTAGGGTTGCCAGCTCTGGGTTTGGAAAAGCCTGGAGATTTGGGGGGTGGAGCCTGAGGACAGCTGGGTTTGGGGAGTGAAGGAACCTCAGTGGGGTATAATGCCCTAGAGTCCACCTTCCAAAACATCCATTTTGTCAAGGTGAACTGATCTCTGTTGCCTGGAGATCAGTTGTAATCTTAGAAGATCTCCAGTCACCACCTGGAGGTTGGCAGCCTTCAGCTTGGCCCCTACACTTCCCACACACACACACCTACAGGAAGGAGGAAACGGGCACAGCACTGGGTAAAGCAAAGCTTCCAACATCAGGATCAAAGGTGAAGTATAAGAGTATAGCTTATCTTCTCTCTGTGTTCTGAGTAATATTGGTTAACAAGGATTGGACAAACAACATGGAAAATTAGGTAAGCCTAATTTTTAAAGGAGGGAGTGGCCCAGGTTGCCAACATTCACAACTTAACTGCCAATTCTATAGCAGGCTGGATGAATATTTGTCAGAGATGCTTTAAGCTGGTCCTGCATTGGGCAGGGGGTTGGACTAGATGGTCTGTATGGCCCCTTCCAACTCTATGATTCTATGAATATCAGAATTTTCAACAAGTAGAATGAAATCCTACTAGTCACTGTTTGGATTCTGCTTTGTACTTAAGAGCACCTGCAAACCATAATGGGCTGGGGATATTTAATGCCTTCCTTGTGCCATTGCACATTTCCACCTTTGATGCCTTCCGCCCATGGAGGAAAGACTGGGACCTACATCAAGCTTCTCTTTCCTTACTTTATGGCTAATAGGGGTGCCGGGAGTGGGGGGAGAAGTAGTTTAGAGCAGGACAACGATATAGGGTAAGGACTAGACAGCTCCTCACACAGCACTGCTGGTCCACTGAGAAACTGTGCAAGATGCCGGGAGTTCTATGAACGCACCCAGGTTTCCAGAGCCAGCATAGTGTAGTGGTTAAGAGTGATGAACTCTAATCTGGAGAACCGGGTTTGATTCCGCACTCCTCCACATGAAGCTAGCTGGGTGACCTTGGGTCAGTCACAGCTCTTTCAGAGCTCTCTTAGCCCCAAAAATAAGTCTAGCTTGCCACCTAGTGGTGCATAATGCTAAAGAGTTAGAACTTAAGGCTGCCAGGCAATCTTCGGATCTCCTGGCTGTACTACACACAATGCAATGCAATATTAATTAATTATTATTACCCAGGTCTCCAATCCCCTTCAGAAAGGGGGTCATAGCGCCTCCAATCCAGACGTGATGCAGGGGAGGTAGGTTGAAGCCTGTCCCTACACTGTTTTCCCCAACCTGAAATGGCCCCATGGAGTGTCTACTTGCCCTCCTGGGGTAATATGCAATGCATGTCATGATCACGGCCCATATGTCTACCTCGGGCCATTTGCAACTCCTGGAGCTGCCTTTTGCCTTGCAAGGACAGATATGGGGAAATCAGATCACACATTTCCCACATTCCATCTGTCTTGGCCAGACAGTGTTCCTTCTCTCCCAAGTCTTAAGGTAGATAGAGACAGCTGTGTCACAAAATCCTGTCTAACCCATTTGGTCCTACCCTGCCTCGGAGGAACTCAGGACAATTTACATGTCTCAGTCCTCCTCCATTTTGCCCTCCAAACAATGAATGTGTGATGTCAGAAGGGACAGTCTGGCTCATGGTCACCTAGTGAGCATCATGGCAGAATGAGGATTTGATCTCATGTCTTCCTAAGTTTTAGGTCAACACTAACCATGGCACCGCACTGTCATTCTAGCCTGCCATTGTGTGCCGCTATCTTTTGCAGTTAAGCAGACATCTCCATACCCTGACTGGATAGACCAGGCTAGCCCTATCCTATCTCATCAGATCTCGGAAGCGAAGCAGGGTCAGCCTTGGTCAGTATTTGGATGGGAGACCTCCAAAGAATACCAGGGTCATGACATGGAGGCAGGCAAGGCAGGATATAAATAGAAAATAATAATGAGTAATAATAAATAGTAATGGCGATCCACTTCTGAATGTCTCTTGCCTTGAAAACCCAACGAGGTTGCCATAGGTCAGCTGCGACCTGACTGCACTTTCTCCACGTGTCTATTTCTGTTGTACAGGGGTCATTTCCTGCAGGAGCGCACAGGAGCGGAGCTCCGGCAGTAAAGAGGCCAGGGGGCGGGCACGTGCAACAAGTCCCACCTCCTTCTCCCAGCAGCCCTCAGTCAGAGCAAGAAGCAGCCAGGTAAGCTACAGAGGCCCCCCCCCGGCCCAAAACAGTCTAGTGGCACCATTAAGTACAAGCTCTCCCTACTCTGCAAGGACAGATCTGCATGTTCCCCCCCCCCCAATAGCTAGCAATCCAAAACAGTCCAGTGCAGCCTGAGCGGTGGGTGTTGCCTTCTGACACACTTCCGGTGATGTCAGGGGGTGTGGCATATGCAAATAAGTTATGCTAATGACATGCTAATGAGCTCCTGCACCTCTTTTTCTGTGAAATGACCCCTGTGTATGAAGCTCTCCTATCCCACACTTCCACATAGGACCCCTTTGAAAAACAAGGCCTAAATTCTCAAATTAGAGTCTTCACTCAAAAATATTCCCTGTAAAAACAGGGAGAGAGCTCAAACTGTAGACTCTTTAAGGGAACACAAAAGCCGATACCCAGAATAAAACTTTGTTGGTCTTAAGGGTGCCACTGGACTCAAACTTTGTTCTGCTGCTTCAGACCAACACAGTTACCCCCCTGAATCTATGTTTTAAGGGGAAACACTCAAGCCTCAGTTCACTTAACCACTTAAGAAAGAGCATTTAATGATGCCTTATCTGATTTTACCAATTGTGGTATCATTCTGTGCTTATCTCTAGCAGCCTTGGGCATTTCCAACAGAAGGGCAAGAAGCAAGCCTTCTTTATTTAGCCCAAGCCATTACAAAACTCCCCCCAACCATATTTCCTACAAGGGACCCTCTTACCGTGGTTCCAGGCCTTTCCCTAATCTGGACAGGAGACCTAGGCTTTCAGACAGGTCAGAGGACTCTTATCGGAGGCACTGGTTAACTCTATTGTACTGAAGGGCTGGGGGAGGGGGGAGAGACGAGACAAGCTCTACCACTCACTTCATTATCCTTTTGGCCCCATAGCAGCGCATATCGTAGGACATACTGTATGTGCCATAGAGGGTGGCTTTGACATTCAAGCAACCGATGAAGTCTTCAGGATTGGTCTTGTAGAGGTCAAAGGTTACACACGCAACATCAATTCTGTGCCGGGGCTTGTGGGATAGGGACAGCTGGTAGCCTGCAGTCTGCCCGAAACAAAAAACAATGCTAATTAGGTTTTCAAAACTTTCACACAACAGAAAGCCAACCGGACCTTGAAGGAAGAAGCTCGTGCATACAAGCCCTCTATTGAGATAACACCAGATCAGAGATTCCAATTGCCCCATGAGACTCAGTTTTCATTTCATTAATAAAAATAGGCAGGTTTCTCACCCTCATTGCCCTTGAACAATATAACAGTGAGGCACAGCAGCTGAAACCTTAGACACCAGAAACAATCCCAAGTAGGGTTAGTCTTCCACTGGCAAAGTATCCCATCCCTGCACTGAAGCTCTTTATCCTCCATTTCCTGTTCTAAATGTTCACCTCGATTTCCTGTTCTAAATGTTAGCAAGTGTGTTTTAATTTTAATTTAATTGTAATTTTAAAAATTCTCTTTTTTTGTTTTCATTTTTTTTATTTTCAATTAGCAAGTGTTTTCAATTGCAATAGGTCCAAATTTCATGGACATTAAAGTAAATGTATGCCATTTGCTCAATCCCAAACCTATGCGCCAAAGAATCATTTCACCAACTGTGCTTATCAGCAGCCAAGCACCTGGTCACTTTAAAAGGGACATCCCAAGTATACCCTTCTAATTTAACATGGCCCCGCCCATTTTCACAGAGTTTGACCTAGCCTGTCAGTGCTCACCTTGGCTGGGCGCCAGATCTGACCCTTGGTTAACACTAGCAACACGGTGCCCTCCTCTAGCGTCTGAAAGAACTCTTCTGTCTCCACGCTGGTGCCATCCTCGTCTATGACAACTGATATGGTGCCCACCAAGAGCAGAGCACTGCGCACCTGTACGAATACATTGGGATACAATTACAACTGCTACTGTACAACTGCCCTTCCACCTCTCCTCTGAAACAGGGCCTTCCAATGCATACTTTCTCAAGCAGGTCCTCCAGGCTGTCGGCCATAATACCCTTGCGCACGGTGCGGTCCCAGTTGCTCACCCGGTAAGGCCGGGCACGGGGAGTAGGGGTGGCTAGTAGCTGCTGTGTCATGGAGGCACTGGCAGAGACACACCTAGGAAAAGAGGAGACAGAATCTGTCTAGGAAAGCCTCTATCCTATAACTTTAGTCTGGCTTAATTAGCATTTCCTTCCTCTCAGGAGCCCTAGCAGTTGGAATTTGAAGGTGGCAGGGGAATTATCCTTGATGATTTTGTGCAACATGCAATTAACCTATAGAACTCACTGCTATGGCCACTAACTTAGATGGCTTTGAAAGGGAATGAAACAAATTCATCAAAGATAGAAACATTATAGATAAAGAATACCTCTGAATTCTAGTTGCCGGGGCCACAAGGGCATGCCCTAGCCTCTGTGCCCTGCCTTGCAGGCCTTGAGGTTGGCTCATTAGCCATTGCGTATATCTTGCACCTTTCCCCTTATGATGTGCAACAAAAAAGTGTTAAAGGCTGGCTATGAAAAGAAGCTGAGAACTAGTACATTGTTGCAGTAGATCTAACACTGTAGCATTATCCAGTTTATAAGAAGCTCTCTGGAATAAGGGGGAAATGACACTGGTGTGTGCGGGGCTGGAAAAGATACACACTTTCTTGTCCACACGGAAGCCACTTTGACTTCACTGCAATTTTTCCAAGAAGACTGGTGGTTTTGGAAACGATGCAGAGAAGCCAGGAGGTGTGCAAAAGCATCATGATGCTGTGCAGAGAAGAGGGGAAACCTACAGTATCCAAGCTGGGGCGAACCACACATGCGTAAGACCCCTTAGTTTCCAGTTCGATTCCGGAAATCCACTGACTTCTACCTGGTATGTTCAACAGCAAAGGGGGGGGGGGAGAGAATTGGCACAATATGATGGGTTGGGTTGGCTGGGATTGGTGGTCTGTGCTGTAAGCTTTGGAAGGGCATTGTTGATGCCACGCCTGCTTCTATTTCAATGTGAAGTCAAAGCAAAGCCACAAGCATCCCACCGATAGCCACTTTATGGGTACTTACTTAGAAAGAGACCTTGGGGAGAGCAGGCCCAGCGACTTCTTGGCATAATCCATCTTTGCCAGCGTAGCTTTCAGCTGTAGGAAGAAAAGGCTTACTTTAGCAACTGCCACTCTGCAGGCATCATACTCTCTTGGAGGGCAGTGGCCGTCAGGCACGGGTTCAAACTTGCAGCTGTAGTGTTGGTAGTCCTTTAACAGGCAGACATCTACGGTCTTGCAACAAGGGACCTAGCTGGGAACACGGGAGTCTCATTTCTTCCTCATTGTCACAAGGAGACAATTTACTTCCTTTGCAGTCCACCTTTCTCACTTAGACTCAAGGCAGATTACACAGTTTTAAAACTGCTGTAACAGTGAATAAAACCGGCTTACAGAATTAGAGACCGGTGTAGTACTACAGGAAGGTAAAGGTAAAGGTTCCCTTGCTTGAAAGCCAGTCGAATCCGACTCTAGGGTTGCGGTGCTCATCTCCGTTTCAAAGCCGAAGAGCCAGCGCTGTCCGAAGACGTTTCCATGGTCATGTGGCCGGCATGACTAAACACCAAGGCGCACGGAACGCTGTTACCTTCCCACCGAAGTGGTACCTATTTATCTACTTGCAATTCCTTGCTTTCGAACTGCTAGGTTGGCAGGAGCTGGAACTAGAGACGGGAGCCCACTCCGTCATGCGGCACCCGGGTCTTGCACTGCTGAACTACCGACCTTCCACAGCCTGCAGTTCAGCGTCTTAACCACTTGAGCCACTGTACCATACAGTACGGTGCTACAGTACCATACATGCAAACAATGCAATAGAACTGGATGGCAAAACCAAAGAATGATGCAATCTGGCCTGTAATCTATACAAGGAACAAAGCAATGAAAAGGGCAAGAAATTTCACATTTCCTCCACCAGTCTAACCACCCCATTGAACCTTCAGTTGTTTCATGGGATGCTGCTGTGCCTCCCCACCCCTCAGACCATGCAGTTATGGTCATTACATGGAGAAAGACACAGGGGAGACTCAGATCTAGAAAGGATCCATAGTTTTAGCTCTGTGAGGTGGAACAGCTTCCAGCTCAGCCCCTCCACCCCCCAATCTATACAGTCCAAAGAAAACGAACTGTCTGCAAAGCAAATTGTTCCAGCTGACTTAAGCCACATGAAGAGGCAACCCAGGATGAAAGCAAGCAGGCACAAATTGGTACATACAGAGTAGCATTAAGCAAGTGGTACCTCCTCTCTTCAAGTGCACCCAAGACAGGAAGATAATTAAGTTGCTGTCATCCGTGGGGGCAGCTGCCACCCCACCAATCTCTAACAGGTTACCCCATGCTGAAAAGCAGACAACCGCCCCCCATACACTTGCCCTGTCTGGCGCTAAGATCCCAGGAAAGCAGTGACTTACCTTAGCTGAGCTGAACAGCGGCTACCCCAGTTCTGCAGGGCTGGGTTGGAGGCTGTCAGCTTATACACACTGGGCCTTCCTCTGCCCTTTGGACAGGAAAGGGAGGGGTGGCCTCAGGGGACAGAGTCTGCCTGCCAGCTAGTCTGCCCCCTGCATCACGAGGACTTGAGCAGGCAGAAGCCGTGAGGCAATCAGGGCAAAGGAGCAGGCAGGAATCTTAGACAAATGAAGTGGCAACACCCTAGGCTTCATGTGTGTGGGGGGGAAGAGCTCTAACCATCCCTGGCAAGTTCTTCACCAACTCCGTTTGCTTATTACTTTGCCTTCCTTCAGGGCTCAGCCCCCACCTCAAGTCTCTAAGTGGGACAGGATGCTGAACTAGATGGACTATTGGTCTGATCCAGCAGGGCTCTTCTTATTTCAGGAAAGGAGTGGCAGATATCTGGCACTCATGCATAAAAGGGTGGGGGAAACAGAGGGGAGATGGTGCCGGCTTGAAACAACCGGGCTGATGCGGGGGGGAGGGTCACCTTCTTCAGATATTTATTTACAGCATAGGTGTAGTTGGTAGGGATGCCAACCTCCAGGTGGGACCTGGAGATCCGCTGGAATTACAGCTCATCCTCAGACTACAGAGATCAGTTCCCCTGGAATAAACAGATGCTTTGGAGGGTGGACTCTATGGCATTGTACCCCACTGAGGTCCCGTCCTCCCCAGGCTCTGCTCCCAAATCTCCAGGGGTTTCCCAAGCAGGAACTGTCAGCCCTACCCCCCCCACACACACATACACACACCAGTGACCAGGAGGGACCCGGCGACCTTGATGGTGGTGGTGGGGGCGCGTGGATCACAACACCTGGTCACCACACCTTAAAAAGGATATTCTAGCTTTGGGAAAAGTGCAGAAAAGGGCAACTCGAGTGATGAAAGGGTTGGAACACTTTCCCTATGAGGAAAGGTTAAGGCGCTTAGGGCTCTTTAGCTTGGAGAAACGACAACTGAGGGGTGACATGATTGAGGTTTACAAGATTATGCATGGGAAGGAGCAGGTAGAGAAAGAGGTACTTTTCTCCCTTTCTCACAATACACGAACTTGTGGGCACTCCATGAAACTGCTGAGCGGTCGGGTTAGAACGGATAAGAGGAAGTACTTCTTCACCCAAAGAGGGATTAACACTTGGAATTCACTGCCACAGGAAGTGGTGGCGGCTACAAGCATGGACGGCTTCAAGAGGGAATTAGATAAGCATATGGAGCAGAGGTCTATCAGTGGCTATTAGCCACTAGGTATAGATAGGGACTCTGGGGCAAGTGATGCTCTGTCTTCTTGGTGCTTAGGGGGGGTCAACAGTGGGAGGGCTTCTAATGTCCTGGCCTCACTGGTGGACCTCCTGATGGCACCTGGTATTTCTGGCCACTGTGTGGCACAAAGTGTTGGGCTGGGTGGGCCTTTGGCCTGATCCAACATTGGCATCTCTTATGTTCTTATGTTTATTATGTAACCCATGACTTTAGACAGATGCCTGCTGGACATCAGCCCACGATGTCTCGTTTCTATAAAATACTGTCTACAAACAAAGTAAATGTATCTAAAATGTATTTTTGTAAGTAGCTTTAGGTCCCCGTTGGGAAGAAAAGCAGAATAAAGGATACTGCATAAATATAAACACACTCATTCATTCTTATCCTACCCGTCCTCATAAGGGGTTCAGGGTGACACACATGCTGCCCCTCACATAGTGTCTTTACAACAACTGTGTTAAGCAAGTTAGGCAGATGGGAAAAGAAAAGAAAGTCTTTCGTGTTAGGCAGAAAGAAAAGAACCAGCCCACAACTGCCTAGTGAGCTTTGTGCTTGAAGCAAGGGTTTGAACCCAGTTGAACCTAGTCCAACTGTAGAACCAGTACGCCACACCAGCATGCTTAAGCTCCAAGGCCACCAATGAATGCCTGTTCCAGCAGATCACAAGTTGCCGCTGGTGAGGTTTATTATGACCATTTGGTGCCATATTGCAAAATAGTTGGTTTTTCCTAGTATCTCTTTAACCTAAAGAACAGTTGCTGTGGGGGGATCAGCTATTACAACGAAGAAGAGGAGGATACAAACAGATGGAGTAGAGCTTTCAGAAGTATGAAAGGGAGCACAGGAACACCTTGGACAGTGATCCTTAGCATGAAAACAAGAAAATGGAGTGCACCGACATCTGGAATGCTGAAAGTACAAAAGAACCCTCAGATATATAGATCTGATCCCACCCTAGCCCCAAATTAGGAGTATCTATCAAATGAATCTAACATAGCTCTTCTTTATATAGTACTGCTATACAACCGGGGAACCAAAGGAGAGAGAGTTGCCAAGGCCAGACAAAAAGCCTGTGGCAGAGGCGGGACTTGAACGCAGACCCTCCAAGTTAATTTATATAGCTCTCTTCCTCCAAGGAACTTCTAGTAGGGTATGATTGTTGCTTCTTGCTTTTTACAATCACCACTATTTATCAAGGTGGCAGTTCTGGAAGTGGTGTTCCCAAGGGCAGGAATTAGATCAAGGGAGATGGTCCAGCTGTGCACACCACTGCAGTCGTAAGCATGTTTATTGTGGGGGGGGAGAGAGCCCCCATCTTTGTTAGAGAGTAAAAGTACCTCTAGATTTGTAAGCATTTCAGTTACCATCCAACGCCTCCTCCAAGGGCAGAGGTTCTGCCAGCCCTGTGCCCCTGTTGCACCGCTGCAGACTGACAGGGAACTCTGCATGATTAATGTTCTTCCACGAAGAAGAGTTCCCCACCTACAGAAAGCTAGATTGGCAGGAAGCCTAACCTTCTAGCCTAACCTTCTCTGCAGCATTCTAGTTTTCTGCCTATTGCAGTCTTTTTTTTTCATTCATGAAGGAGCATTAACTACTGGGGCAAACAGAATGGGTAAGACAGCATTTTATCACCTCAGCTGCCATATGAGAAGAGTTTGCCATCAGCAGACTGAACGACCAGAGAGAAAACAAACATCATTTTTCCTGGGTCACATATAGATAAAGGTAAAGGTTTCCCTAGCTCGAAAGCCAGACGAATCCAACTCTAAGGGGCGGTGCTCATCTCCGTTTCCAAGCTGAAGAGCCAGCGCTGTCCAAAGGCTTCTCCGTGGTCATGTGGCCGGCATGACTAGACGCCAAGGCGCACGGAACGCTGTTACCTTCACACCGAAGCTATCTACCTATTTATCTACTTGCAATTTCTTGCTTTCGAACTGCTAGGTTGGCAGGAGCTGGGACCAGAGACGGGAGCTCACTCCATCATGCGGCACTCGGGTCTCGAACTGCCAAATTACAGACCTTCCAGTCTGCAGTTCAGTCTCTTAACCTCTGAGCCACTGCTGCCCTGGGTCACATACCTGCCTATAATATAATCTCATGAGCCCTGGGAGATTCTCATGTTATATATTGTCTTACCAGCCTCTGGGTGGGGTCTGGAGTCCTCCCAGAATTCCAACTGATCTCCAGGTGACAGAGATCAGTTCCCCTGGAGGAAGTGGCAGCTTTGGAGAGTGGACTCCATGTCATCCCATCTCTGCTGAGCTCCCTTCTCAGACTCCGCCTTCCAAGACCCACCTCCAGGTCACCAGGAATTTCCTAGCATGGAGTTGGCAACCATAGTTATAAGCCTTTTATCATGGTACTGGGTTTGCAGTCTGGATTGTGCTACCACCCCCTTCTCAAATTTATCCTTTTCCCTCCCCCCTACACATGATTGGGCTCTACATTAGGCCAAATTGTATTTTTCATAAATGCATTCTATTTTTCTCTTGGAAAGGCTTCCCAAGAGAGGAAAGGAATGAACTATGGACTCCTCAGGTTTTGTCACATGCTACCACAAAGACATATTCTCCCAGAGGCATTAGTTACATTCTGCATACTTTGTCGTTTCTGACGAAACAAGGAACAGGACTTTGTAAAATCCACACGGAATGTTGGCTAGGCTGGAGGCTCAAAGTTATAAAGGTTGCAATTTCACTAATAAAGTGTTGCACTGAGGGCTGGAGTATGGTCCTTAGGACCCCCGCTTTCAATTTCAAAAGCTAAATGGACCATTAGCAGCTATAATATGTGCAACATTAACAGCTATCGTGTCTTGGCAGGTATTGCAGTGGCCTCGCAGCACAACAGTGCATGCATAGCAGTTTGATTTGTGCCAGACACAGGCTATGTGCAAATTGCATGGCTAACCATGCAATCCTAAACACACTTTTCAAAGCCAATGGGCTCACTCTGCTTAGGACTGCAGTGTCTAGGCGCAATCCTTCCTAGCAAGTCTTAGGTCTTACTGATAAAAAAGTGTTCTTGGGATCGCAGCCCAAGTTCCATTGTTATGCCAATATCAGCTTTAAATCTGGTCTGAGATTTCAACAGAAGGGAGGAGAAAATAACAGAAAAGTCTGTAGTGTCCTCATTCACCTTTCTGTGTTATTTTAAGTACATCCTGCCTTTCTCATTAGACTCAAAACAACATTAGTAATAAAGCTGCAATTGAAAGACAGAGTATACAGAATCACCACCCAAAACACATTAAAATGGGATTGCAGCACAGCCTTCTCCAACAATAATTTTTGCCACCAGAGAAAGCTCCCAAAGAACACTCTTGCAAGAAGCAAGGGAACCTGCGGAATCTAGGACTAGCAAAGCTGGACATTGGGATAACGGGAACTAGCAGCACTTGTTAAAGCAAGAGTAATATTGAAATGGCTCAGTTCACATAATTTAAAGCAGCTATAAAACTGGTAACCTTGGCCCAATATTTTAATCTTTTTTGTTGAAGCGTGGTACATACAGAGCTCTGGACATGGATTGTTCCATGCAGTTTGAATTTAACAAGAAACCTCAGCGGCAGCAACT